GGAGCCGCCGCCGCATGCGGAGGAGACAGGTGGCGCAAACTGGAAGGACTCTGTTCCGGGGGCGAAGGAGGTGCGGAAGTTGTACGGACTGTTGAGATTGAAAAGCTGTAAGAGTCCTAGTTCGTTCGATCATGACCCTGGGATGATCGAACGGTGACAAATTTTTCTATTATTTTCTTCTTTTTTTTCACCTTATTTTTCAAAAAATTATAAAGTAATTGTCTGGTAAGTGTGTTTTTATTTTATTATTTTCTTATATTTTAGAGTTTGTGGTTTAGATCGCATTAGCTTTCAAATTGTAAATAATTTTTAGATAAATACAAAAAAGGTTAAAGCTTACGGTTCTCTTTTTGGATAGGATTATTCTAATCTTGTGGTAAATTATGTCAATTAGGATTCCCTTTAGATAGATATAATAAAGAATAAAATAGATTAAATAGTGAAAGACTTATTTAAATCTTTTTTAAAGTAAACCTTTATCAAGTATAATAAATAATAATGACGTGATCTCATTTAAAGGTATAAGAAGTGTAGAAAACTACTCACTTCCTAATTTATAAATTAGCAAGCAAGTAGTTATAAGAGGTGGTTGTAACTACAGATTTGAATTATTTTGCTGGTAGAAAAGAAGTACCAAATTAATAGAACCAAAATATGCTCCTACCTAAAGTTTGAACTCTGTAAATTTTGTGACAAAAGAATATATCACAGTATAGGATTCGACGTCTAAAAGATGCAACAAAGCGTTGAGAATAAAAATAATAACTTTCTTTCGAGATTTATCTCAAACAAATATTCCATATGCTCCTACCAAGACAAGTTTGTGTTTAACCATATTTTATTGTAAAAATTGACAAAAAAAATAGTGTTTTTTTAAAGTTACAAATGATATTTACTAATATACATGTGTTTGACCATGAATATAAATTAGAATTGATTTTAACTTTTTTAGTGAGTAATTTGGAGTGAAAAAAGTGAAAATACTTCTTTGTTCGAAGTTCAAACTCGATAAATAAGTGAAAAAATTTCATGATCAAACACATCATATCGAATGCTAAACCAAGAAAATGGAAAGAAAGAAAAAATGGGAGAAACTTTTGTTGTTTCAAATGTAACACGTCTGTCCTTGGTCTACTCCAATACATAATCTATTACAGGCCCGATTAAACAAATCATAAAACTCAGATGACCTTTCAACGTAGATTTAGAGTGTCACCTAACATCATTCATTTAGTACTAAAAATTTGAAAGAGCTTTACGCACTATTGTAAAAGTCAAGTCATCTTAAAAATAATTTGATATCACTTAAGAGAAGGTGAGAGAGATCAGTGTTTTAAAAGGTGGAGGCTTGAGGCGAGGCGTTTTATGTAGTACAGGGCAAGGCGTAAGCTCCGAGACACAGGGCGTAAGTTCATGGATCTACGGGGCGTAGTTTCATGTATATTCAATTTTATAGTTTTATTACTAATAAAATAAGTAAAAGTAAACCTTTCAATGATTTATGATTTTTATTTGAGATAAATATTACTCCCTCTGTCCCATTTTATGTGGCAACATTTGATCGGGCACGGAGTTTAAGAAATAAATGAAGACTTTGAAATGTTTACCAAATTGCCCTTTAAAAAGTAGACTCACTTTTCTCTCTCCTCATAAATGTATTGGAGTATTATTTTAATATTAAGTGGGACCAACAAGGGTAAAAAAAGAATTATACCTTTAAATACTTACCATATAAAGAAATGTGACATTCTTTTTTGGACTGACCAAAAAGGAAATGGTGCCACCTAAAATGGGACGGATGGAGTAATAATCAATAATGAAGAAAAAAGTATTATAATTACTATTTGAGAAATATCATTACATCAATAATAAAAATATGATTTAAAGCAAAAAAGATTAAAAACCCTCGGACGTACGTTTTTACGCTCAGGACTTACGTTTTTATGCTCGAGACTTATGCCTCAAATTTTAAGACTTACGCCTTATGAATCTACGTCTTTAATTTACTCCCCGGAGCGTTTTTGGTACATTCCGCCCCGAGACTCGCCCAAAAAACGTTTTTGAAAATACTGGGGTGAGACTAATAATTTGATAAATAAAATAAGTACTTTACAGCAAATATGAAATATAGTACGTATTAATTACATATTGTGACTTGGAAGTTGGTATTATTGGAGGGGTATATATAACGATAGTAATTAGGTTGGATATTTGAACAATTAGCGATGTGATTATAGTTGAGTGGTCAAGTCATATTGAATTCTTCTTCTGCCTAAGACTATCTCCAATAACCCACACCAAATTTTACATCAAATCTTAAATTTGGTGTAAAATTTGGTATTTTTGAGCTCCAACCCACACCAATTTTTACACCAAATTTGGTGTAACACTATTCATCACACCAATTCACTTTTTGAATATTTTAATATTTTTTCACTATACAAACTTTTAATTAAACATTACAGTATATAAATTGTATGTTTTAACTAAATCTCTTGTATATTTAATTATTTTTTATGTAATATTTTTATAATATTAATTTTAGATATAAAATTTAGCTTTTTTATAAATTAATTTTTCTATATATGACTTTTTTTAAGAATTAAATTTATATTAATTCTACTATAAATTATAATTGGATATAACTACAATTAACATTCACAAAAATTAAAAATGCAAACATATAAAATTTTAAACAAATAATACAATGTACTTAAAAATAACCGAAAATA